GCCGCTCACGTAAATCTGTGAGCAGGAACATCAGCCAGCGGAGCTCCTATGCCGCCATGGCACGAGTGTAGATCTCAGCCTCACAGCTAGACTGTGCAACAAAGGACGAGCGGGTGGACCTGCACGAGATAGCGCTTGCACCAAGACTAAAGTAGTACACCCGGGAGGACCTGAGCGTCTCAGCGTCGTCACCCACGAAGAGTCTGTGTGCCCTGTAAGAACCACTAGCCTGCGTCTTCCCAGCACTAGCCCTATGCCCGATGTACTTGCGAGATACGCAACACCCTCTAAGCGGCTGACCAGTGTTGTGGTGGGTGTCTACCTGAGGCCACAAGGCACACCAGGATACTACGAAGTCATCACGTACATGAGGCAGCCCACAAGCTCTGCGTAGTAACGAAAGGCTCGACTGGCTTGTCAGAAACAGGAGCCGAGACCTTGTTATCCACTAGCAGAGGGGTAGGCTGTGTGGAGGAGGAGTAAAGGCCGAACCTCTGAAGGACATGGTGTAAGAAATAGACCCATGCGGAGTACCCTTGGGAGGAGCGTTTGTCAGTCTGGTCATCAGCCCATGAGGAGTCTGTTTATCCCTCGAGCTTGACTGGAGGGGTACCACCAAGTGTGAGGATGTGAGACTTGGTGGCTTGTAGATAGCGGAGAACCCTCTTGGCTGCAGACCAATGTGAGGCAGTGTAGCGTCCGGGGGAGACGTACCGAGAGAGGACACTAACCGGGTAAGCCAAGTCTGGTCGAGTGCACATTATGGCATACATGAGTGAACGGACTAGCTCAGGGTACGGGTCCTTGCAGGCGTCAGGAGAAGGAATTGGAGGGGCCACGAGATGATGCTGTAGTGGGAATGGAGTGGAGCCAGAGTTACTGGAGTCCATGTCGAACCGCTTGAGAAGGTTGTCGATGTAGGACTCCTGGGAGAGCGTGATCGTGCAAGCCTGGCGGCCACGAGTGATATCCATCCCCAGGTAGTTCTTGAGGTCACCAAGATCCTTCATGAGAAGGGCGGAGATGAGAGCAGACTGGACAGCTGCCATGTCGGCTGGATCTCTGGCGACTAGAATGAAGTCATCGATGTAGACGAGGATGTAGAAAGGCTCGGAGGAGTGACGAACGAAGAGACTGGAATCTGAGGCAGAGGGATGGAAGTCAAGTGCGAGGACTTCCTTCACCTAGTTGTGCCACTCACGAGGAGCCTGCTTGAGGCCATACACTGGGCGCTTCAGCTTCCACACTGTATTGGCAGGGTAAGTGCCAGGAAACCCCGGTGGGCGTTCCATGTGAACATCCTCCTTGAGCTGGCCTTGGAGAAAGGCGGAGGAGGCGTCCATGGACTTGATCTCGAAGTTGCCGCGAGCGGCTATATCAAGAAGAGCGCGCACAGTCGGGAGCTTGGCCGTGGGCGAGAATGTTTCGAAGAAGTCGAGATACTCCTTCTGGGTGAAACCCTTTGCCACGTATCGTGCCTTGAACAGTGGAGCTTCGCCTGGGAGTTGTTTGACTCGGAAGATCCATTTTCCGCCGACGATGTTGACACCGGAAGGGGGAACAACATCGTCAAAGCTGTTGTTGCGAATGAACGCCTCGTTCTCCACATCCATTGCTGCCTTCCACTCCTTCTTATAAGGCCCCGAGAGAGCTTCCTCTTTTGTGCGAGGAGTCGGAATGATCGGGTTCTTGGTGAAGTTGAGGGAAGGGCAGTCAGTAATGTCCGGGAAGATGTGAGAGAGAAATTGGCAGACCGCATGAAGGTCAAACAGCTCCTCATGCCTGTCCTCCAGAACTGCACGTGGGGGAATACGGATGGAGGGGACATCACCCCCGGCAGGAGGAGGCGGGGTGACCGAACACCGGATGGAGAAGGCGGCTGGTCCCCAGGTGATAGGCGGAGCCGGTCCCTTGGAACGAGTGCGACTATAGACCGGAGATGAAGGCGGCTGCGGTGGGACCGAAGGACTGGGCGCCTCCGGTAGGAGACTGGTGAGCCGTGCTCGACGCTCAGGGAAGGCGGAGCAGGAGGAGGTGCCGTGGGACTCCTGGGAGAGGGTGATCGTGCAAGCCTGGCGGTCACGAGTGATCTCCATCCCCAGGTAGTTCTTGAGGTCACCAAGATCCTTCATGAGAAGGGCGGAGCTGAGAGCAGACTGGACAGCTGCCATGTCGGCTGGATCTCTGGCGGCTAGAATGAAGTCGTCGACGTAGACGAGGATGTAGAAGGGCTCGGAGGAGTGACGAACGAAGAGACTGGAATCTGAGGCAGAGGGATGGAAGTCAAGTGCGAGGAGGACTTCTTTCACCTTGTTGTGCCACTCACGAGGAGCCTGCTTGAGGCCATACACTGGGCGCTTCAGCTTTCACACTGTGTTGGCAGGGTAAGTGCCAGGAAACCCCAGTGGGCATTCCATGTGAACATCCTCCTTGAGCTGGCCTTGGAGAAAGGCGGACGAGGCGTCCATGGACTTGATCTCGAAGTTGCCGCGAGCGGCTATATCAAGAAGAGCGCGCACAGTCGGGAGCTTGGCCGTGGGCGAGAATGTTTCGAAGAAGTCGAGATACTCCTTCTGGGTGAAACCCTTGATGTTGACGCGCACATCAGCAGGTGCAGCCACAGCAGCCTGCACGGATTCCTGCGCTTCGACTTGATTGACTTGGCGAGGAGCACGATTGACCATCCAGCTTGGCGGCTTTGAGGCGGTCCCATTGACGGCATACCACTCGTCATCCTTCTTATTAAAGCAGGAGGCAAGGGCGTGGTTGGTGCCGCCACACACCTGGCCGGCACGAGGGCCGCGCTTGATGACATAGGGACACGGGGGGAAGCGGTTGCACTGGAATGGCGCCGAAACGGCATTGGCTTGAGGCACGGGAGCGCGGATTGCATTGGCCTTGGCTTGAGTGCTGTTGTCCTTTTCGGCAGAAAGGAGCGCGGATGAGACCTTGGCAAATATGAGGTCTGCAGGAGCAAGGCCCAAGAGCATCTTGCGTGTGACTTCGTATGCCAGAGTGAGGCCGACTAGGAGAGCGGCTGCAGGGGCTTGCTCGGGGAAGACTATCCCCAACTGTTTGAGTTCACCATGAATGGACTGCACCTTGGTGACATAGTCCGCCATGCCTGGCGAGTCCTCGAGCCGCACTTGGAACATGCTGGGGATGAGTATAGCAACTCCCACTGCAGTCTTGTTCAGGAAGCGATCTTCGAGGTAGAGCCAAATAGCATTGGCAGACGGGTAGTTGTGGTAGGTTTCGACGAGTTCGGGAGGAGTGGTGCCCATGAAGACACTAATGACCGCACCATCGGCCTTCTCCCAATTCTTGTACTTGAGCAGTGCAGCAGCATAAACTGCTTCGGCGGCGGCATTAGCTGGATCGGCGGACCTCTCGGGTTTAGGAGGCTCTTTGCTGTCACCGATGTTGAGAAGGACGTCGGTGAACTCGAGCCCCTTCACCTCGCGACTGAGGAGGTGCTTGTGTTAGAAACTGAAAGGTTCAGTTTATTGATGAAGGAAAGGCATTACATAGGAAGAGAGAGATGAGCTAGGAAGGGAAGGTTGGAAGGGAAGGGGGGGTTAGGACCAATCACAAGGGAGGGAGGATCCTTCCAAATGTGGTTGACCACCAGTTGGAGGTGGTCCAAGTGTGGTGTACCACCAGTGGTTTAGCCAACCCACTTGTGGTGCCCCCACAATTGTGGTCCTTGTGTTTGGGGGCTCCAACCACAATTGGGATGTAAACACAATCTACACGACTAGCATAGCATGGTATATTCTAACACAACCCCAGAGCATGCAAAGCTAGTGTATATGTAGGGTACAACCCCAGAATCAGGAAGGGGGGCAGGGCCCAAGGCCGAGAAGGCGGAGGAGGGCAGAGTGCGCGGTCTTCGGGAGGGCCTTGGTGAAGATGTCGGCCAAGTTGGCCTCTGCAGCGATCTTGCGGACCACCAAGTGACCTTGCTGGACCAACTCTCCAACGAAGAAGTAGCGGAGTTCAATGTGCTTGGAGCGGCCATGGAAGACAGGGTCCTTTGTGAGATGGATGGTGCTGGCATTGTCGCACCAGAGGGTGGGACAGCGCTGAGGAGCACCGATCTCAGCAAGGAGGAAGGTGAGCCAGCGATTCTTCTGAGCGGCCATGGTGCAAGCATAGAGCTCAGCCTCGCAGGATGAGAGGGCGATGGAGGAGGAGCGAGTGGAGCGCCAGCTGATGAGGCCGCTGCCAAGGGTGAAGCCGTAGCCTTGAGAGGAACGGCGATCCGGCTGGGAGTCAGCCCAGGAGGAGTCACTGAAGCCAGAGAGGAGGGGAGGAGAAGAGCCTCCGAGGGTGAGGACATAGTCCTTGGTACCACGGAGGTAGCGGAGGACCCGCTTCGCTGCAGCCCAGTGCTCATCAGTGTGGCGACCGGTACCGACGAATCGAGCAAGAACACTGATGGGGTAGGCAAGGTCGGGGCGGGTGCACATCATAGCGTACATCAGCGAGCCGACGAGCTCAGCGTAAGGATGGTCAGAGGAGGAGGGAGCAGGAGGAGGGGCAAGCTGGTGGTCGGTCTGCAGGGGAGTGGTAACCGGCTTGGCCTGCGCCATGTCGAACCGCTGCAAGACTTGGTCGATGTAGAAGGACTGAGAGAGGGTAATGGTGCGCGATGTGCGGTCCCGGGTGATGGTCATGCCCAGATAGTGCTTGAGCTCACCCAGGTCCTTGCACTTGAGGCGCGCATGCAGGGCGTCCTTCACTTGCTGCATGGCGGCAGCATCGTCAGCGAACAGGATCATGTCGTCGACATACACCAGGATGAAGAAGCGGGTGGGAGAGGAGCGAAGGAAAAGGCTGGCATCAGACTGAGAGGCATGGAACCCCAAGGACTGCAGAGTGGCGGCCAGCTTGTTGTGCCACTCGCGAGGAGCCTGCTTGAGGCCATAAACCGGGCGGCGCAGCTCCCAGACTGTGTTGGCAGGGAAGGCTGCATGAAAGCCTGGAGGCCGCCGCAAGAGGACCCGCTCCTGAAGCTCGCCTTGCAGGAAGGCGTTGGAGACATCCATGGAGGCAATCTCCATGCCAACGCGAACAGCATAGTCGAGGATGGCACGGAGAGTTGGGAGCTTGGCAGTGGGAGAGAATGTCTCCCAGTAGTCGATGCCATGGGTTTGGGTGAAGCCCTTGGCACAATACCGGGCCTTGTAGACCGGCTCCTCACCCGGCAGCTGCTTCACTCGGAACACCCAGAGGCCTTCAACAATGACGTCGTCAGGAGAGGGGACAATGTTAACGAATGAGGCATTGCGGATGAAGGCCTCGCATTCAGCAAAGATAGCCTGGATCCACTTGGCAGCATCGGGGCAGGTGATGGCCTCAAGGAAGTTGGACGGAGTGAATCTGGTGGGAGCGGTAGCGATGCCAAGGATAAGGAGGCCAAGGAAGCCCGGGTAGAGAGGCGTGAGGGAAGGTGTTTGTTGCTGAACGCCAATGAGCTCCTCATGGGAGTCCTCAATGAAGGGAAGGGAGGGTGGGGGTGGTGTTGGCCAACCCCATGGATGGCCTATGAGTGGGCCGTGAGAGCGAGTGTGGATGCGTGGGAGGATGAACGGAGAGGTGGTGCGGCGATGCCGATGAGGTTGCTGCAGTGGCTGCTGCTGCTGCTGCTGCTGTGGCTGCTGCTGGTGCTGCTGCTGCACCTCCTGCTGCGGCTGCTATTGCTGCACTGCCTGCGGTTGCTGCTGCTGCTCCATCCGCTGCTGCACCTCCTCCTCCTGCTGCTGCTGCTGCTGCTGCTGCTGCTGCTGCTGCTGCTCCATCCGCTGCTGCTGCTGCACCTGCTGCTGCTGCTGTTGCTGCTGCTGCTGCTGCTCCTTCTGCTGCTGCTGCTCCTTCTGCTGCTGCTGCTGCTGCTGCTGCTGCTGCTGGTGCGATGAGGCAGAGTGAGCAGGGGAGTCAGGGACAGCTGGGTCGTAAATGTCACCTGAGGAAGGAGGAGGGGGAGGAGCAGGATTTGGAGGAAGGAGGGGAGCCTGGGGAAGGAGTGGGGGAATGACAGCATCAGCCCAGGTGAGGGGGCGGGAGAGAGGAGGAAGGGGGTCGGAAGGCGGAACAGAATGATAGAACGGGATGCTCTCATCGAACACCACGTCACGGCTCTGTAGGAGGCGGCCTGAGGACGGGTGAAGGAAGAGGTAACCAGGGGCAGAGCGAGCGTGGCCAAGGTAGACACACTCAATGGCCTTGGAGGCAAGCTTTCCTGCCTGCCGAGAGCGGTCAGGTGGGGGGATGAGGACATATGCCTTGCAACCCCAGATACGGAGAATGGCAGCATCTGGCTTGGTGCTAGCCCAGAGCTCAGTGGGAGTGACAGACTGGCGTTGAGGATGTGGGTAAAGATTAGTAAGGAGAGCAGCATGGACAAGGGCTTAGCCCCAAAGAGAAGGGGGCGTGGAGGCATGAGTGAGGAGGCAGCGGGCCGTCTTGGTGATCTCACGAATGCGACTCTCAGCAACACCGTTCTGCTGAGGGGAGTGGGGAAGGGTATGAGTCTGCTGGATGCCATGGGTTGAGCAGTAGGAGGAGAGGGTGCGGTTGAGAAACTCACCACCGCCGTCGGAATGGAGGCGGCGGATGGGGCGACCAAAGTGGACTCGGCACTGCTCGGCCCAGGTAACGATGACAGCAGGGGCCTCGGCCTTCGTGTGGAGGAGGAACACCGAGGAGTACCTGCTGTGGTCGTCGACTAGGACAAGCAGGTACCGGTGCCCTTGGCGGGAAGGGGAAGGGTTAGGGCCCCAGAGGTCCATGTGGACGAGGTCAAGGGGGGCAGCAGCAAAGGAAGGATGACTGAGGTGAGGCTGTTGTTTGAGCTTTCCATGAATGCATGTGGCGCATGGGGGAGCGGAAGAGGACGGGAGGGGAGGAAGAGTGGGGGGAAGACCGTCAAGCAAGCGGGAGGAGACGGCTTTACGAAGTGTGGGAAAGTTCATATGACCAAGGCGGTGGTGGATGAGAACAGCGGGGTGGGACAGTGCGCGACAAGAGCATGGGGAGGAGGTGGAGTTGGAGGAAGGTGGCTCTAGAGGGAGGGGAGGGGGGAGAGTGGAGGTGCCTGCACGAGTGGTCACGTGGCATGAGGAGGGGCGCGGTGTGCGGAGGATGTACTGACGAGAGCGAGGGCAAAGTGGGAGGCGATGAAGGAGGCGGCGAGTGGGGCCGTGGAGGAGGTCACAGTAGGTGGCAGAGGCGGGGAAGAGGGTAGTGATGCCAGCCTGTTGGAGTTCACGAATGGAGAGCAGGTTATGACGAAGGGAGGGAATGTGGAGACCAGTGACCACTCCAGAGGGGAAGGGGGGGCAGGGGAGGGTGGAGAGATGAGTGCAAGGGATGGAGAAGCTGGAATCAGCACCATGAACGTTGGTGGGGAAAGGGAGGGAGGTGAGGGTGCCGGCGTCTTTGAGGGCAGTTTCAGTGGCACCACTATCGAGAACAAAGTCAATCGTGAGCGAGGAGGGAGCTGAAGACACGGGGTACTGGAAATCACTGGCATTAAAAACAGAGGGATACATGGAAGTGGAAGCAGGGGAAGAACGCATGAGCTCGCCTAGAAAGCTGGAGTGGGAGGCGGGAGCACTAGGGGAAGGAGAGCCCCAGAGGGGAAAGCCAGGAGGACCTGGTGTGGCTGTGGCAGCCATGGCGGCGGTGCCAAAGCCAAGCTGCTGCTGCTGCCATGCAGATGCTGCGGCTGCGGCTCCTGCAGCTGCGGCTGCAGCCTGACCACCAGAGCCCCACTGCTGCTGCTGCTGCAGCAGCTGCAGCTGCTGGAAGCGGCGAAACTGCTGCAGCTCCTGGGGAGTTATGGGGTCAGCGACAGAGGAGGAGGAGGAGGAGGAGAGCTGAAGATGAGAGGGGAGGAAAGACGGAAGAGTTTTGACATCCTGGAGCAGGTCGCGGGGGGATGGTTGGTTTGGGTGCAGCGCTCACCCGCCCTGGGACCAAAACGGCGAAGATAGGAACATGGGGGGAGAGTGCCAGGGCGGCCACCACGGCTACCAGATGAGCCACCACTGCCTCCACCACCACCACTGCTGCCACCCTCGACCCCGCCACCACCGCCGCCGGCTCCGCTGCCCCCACAACCGCCACCTCCACCCCCTCCCTGAGGGTTGGTGCGGCCGCCACGTGGGCGCCCGCCACGACGCGGCTGTGTGACTGCAAGCTGGGGGTTTTGGGACTCGGTGGAGTTCAGGCCGGAGGGGGGGGTTGAGAGAAGGCGGGCCTCAGCGTCAATGATCCATTGGACCACAGTGTCAAGGGAGGCGCGGGGCTGAGCCTCAGTGAAGGCGATGACGTGCACTTCATATTGAGGGGAGAGGCCTTCGAGGAGACGGTAGATCTGAAGGTTGGGGGGGAGAGTAGTCTGGCGAGCCTCAAGGCGGGAGGCAAGGTCCAGGAGACGGCTGGTGTAGTCAACGGCGCCAGCACTATGTTCGATCGTGATGCTGAAGTATTCCTTGAAGAGCGGTCCGACAGCATCGAAGTCGGTGCGTTCGAACATTGCCTCAAGCTCGAGCCAGATCTGGCGGGAGCCGATGCGACGTGCCTGGAAGTTGCGCATGAGCGCAGACGGGATGGCAAGGAGAAGGGCACCAGTAGCACGGCTGTCCGCCTCGAGCCAGGCGCGACGATGCTCAGCAAATCGCGCAGAGTCAGCGGCATAAGCGGCGGCGGTAGCGGCATGCTGGGTGCGGAGGGTTGCCGACCGCTCGTGTTCCTCCAACGCGATCAGGTAATCAGTATGGAGCACGAGGAACTCACGACGCTGAGTAAGGAAGAGCTGCTCAACTTCAGCGGTGGCAGCGCGAGTGCTGGTGCCAACGGGTACCATGGGGGGCGGAGGTTCCTCGCCGGGATGGGGAATGAGAGGGGGGGGATCGTCAGGGTGAGGCGGCGGGTCCCCAAGGTCACCCTCTGGGAGACCAAGCATGATGTCCAGGAGGCGGAACGGCAGGACATAAGCACTGCCGAGGACGCGGTGGAGGCTGCCGACGAAGGAATACCAGTTGGTTGCTGAGTTGTCGGCAGCGCGCACGAAATGATCGAGGGTCGAGACGTCAACGGGAGGGGGAAAGGATGCCATTGGTGACACGGAGTGGGAGGAAGGCGACGGCGGGTGGACCCGCGGTGGCCGGGAGGGAGCGGCGGCGGGTGGACCCGCGGCGGCTCAAAGAGGAGGGGAGGATGGGGATGGCTGTAGATACTGCTGCTGCTGCTGCTGCTGCTGCTGCTGCTGCTGCTCCTTCTGCTGCTGCTGCTGTTGCTGTTGCTGCTGCTGCCGCTGCTGCTGCTGCCACTGCTCCTGCTGCCGCTGTTGCTGCTGCTGCTACTGCTGCTGCTGCTGCTCCTTCAGCTGCTGCTGCTGCTGCTGCTACTGCTGCTGCTGCTGCTGCTGCTGCTGCTGAGTCTGCTGCTCCTTCTGATGCTGCTGCTGCTGCTTCTGCTGCTACTGCTACGGCTGCAGCAGTGGTAAGGCGGCGATGAGCAGGTGCAGGTGAGGAGGCAAAAGATGGGGAAAGATGGCAGCTAGCTGATGAAAATAGGACTTGGTAGAAATTTCAGTAGCACTTCGTGATCACATCCAGGAAAGTGTGCAAACTTCGGAAAGCGATATCTGACAATCCAAGCGATGAAACAGTCCGAAATTTTACGACGTTGTAGCTGACACCAAGAAAGTTCTTTTGCAAGTCAAATCACTCAATTCTGTCAACTATCGAGCGAGCTATGGCGTTTGGCGCATTGGGGGTTTTTGAAAATCCACCCAACAGAAAACTAGTTGAGAGGCGGCGGCTAGGAGTCTAGCAACGGCGATGGAGGGGACGGCAATGAGGTGCATGTTGGAAGGGGACGGGGGGGAAGCGTGGGGAAGGATCGGGATTTAAAAGTTGGTGTGAGCCATTATTGCTCTATACCATATTAGAAATAGAAAGGTTCAGTTTATTGATGAAGGAAAGGCATTACATAGGAAGAGAGAGATGAGCTAGGAAGGGAAGGTTGGAAGGGAAGGGGGGGTTAGGACCAATCACAAAGGAGGGAGGCTCCTTCCAAATGTGGTTGACCACCAGTTGGAGGTGGTCCAAGTGTGGTGTACCACCAGTGGTTTAGCCAACCCACTTGTGGTGCCCCCACAATTGTGGTCCTTGTGTTTGGGGGCTCCAACCACAATTGGGTTGGATTGACACCCCAACACAGGTGTACACCCAACTAGGGATGTAAACACAATATACACAACTAGCATAGCATGGTATACTCTAACAGCTTGTCGACACCATAGCGCCAAGCCTTGTAGTTGGAGCATGTACCGGCCGGCTCGAGACGAAGGAGCGGGATCGAGTTGGCGAGTGAAGTGGTTGAGTAAGCCATTGTCGGTGTGCAGCGCGGCACTTCTGGAAATTGGTCGACGAGAATTGCTGAAAATCACTTTGATGGCTTTATCAAAATGCCGCTAAGTAGGAAATGGCGTCGGCGAAAATTCGTTAAAACGCCGACTTGAAACTGAATCTGAGACTATGTCTAACCCCGGACCCACACACCTCCCAACACACCCCCAGGCCCTGTCCCGCAGCTACACAGCTCCGCAACAAGCTCCACTCCGCTTCAACCTGTGTACCTCCTCTTGCTTGACGCGTGGCGTTCGTGGAGGCGATTTTGCGATGGGAGTTCGCCTATTCTGGCGGGGTCTGAGGGGAAACTCGAGAACGAGTTTTAAGAGATGGTCGAAATTGAGATTCGACCAAGGAGAACCGAGGAGGAAATCGACGACGAGAAGCGTGAAAGCTTGAGAGATGAGAAATTCAACGAGGTCGAGCGCGAAGGCGGTCGACGATGAGAGGCGCGACTGCAGAGTGGAGCACGTCGAACTTCCGACGACTCGAGACGATTGACGCGACGATCAAGTGCGCGTAGCGCGGGTACGTTAAGATTAGGACCTTGATCCGCGTGTGCGGATAGGTCGCTCTGATACCATGTAAGAAATAGAGTTGAAATGATTGATTAGGTAAGGAGCCCAAGGCTCTATAAGTACATGGCAAGGTGAGAGAGAATGGATGAAGGGGGAATTGGAGAGAATCCCCATTGGGATCTCCGGAATCTCCAATTGGGTAATTGGAGATTGGGGGGATCACAATTGGGTGAGGTTGGGATTTGTGAGTACACCCCAACCCACTAGAACATTCATAACCTAAACTAGGATATAAAAGTAGTATTTGCAGTCTATTTCTAACAGATGTTTCATGCGGCAAGAGAAATCATTAGGTTAAGGAGGCTCTTGAAGGAGATCGGCCATGAACAGACTTGTGCGACACCTCTGTTCAGTGACAGCAAGGGAGCCATTGCCATGGCACGCATTGCAGTTCTTCATGGGTTGAACAAGCACATGAGGATCAAGTGGCATTGGCTGCGGAAGGAGGTGAAGCTTGGGACACTGGATCTACGTGAAATCTCAGCAACAGCCAGCCGACTTCCTTACCAAGCGGCTAGCTGAAGAGCCACACTGGCGCTGTACGAGGATGGCGGGAATGTCCTTGAACTAGAGATGGCAAAACAAGCCGACATTCTGAGGGGGAGTGTGTTGGTGCATATTCTTTTGCACATCATCATGTTGTCTGTTCGCATGATTTCGTTTGCATGTGTTTTGTGTGCTGTGTTGTTTGTGTGGTTTGTTGGGTTTGCATGTCTTTGCATGTTCATCTTGTGCCTGTGCAGATGTGCTTGGATTGTGCATGACATCGATCACATTCCAACGAGCCAAGAATTGTTGGAATCGGAGCACATGTGAAGAAGTTACGAAGAAATGTTTGATGGATTTAAGACAACTCATTGGAAGTCCTTGTCAGCTGCTACACCAAAGTTGGAGAGCCCTATAACGAGGAGGGACCAGTATGTGTGGGACTTTTGTCCTCACCTTGCAGCTGCAGCATTTGGGGGTTGGAGGCCAACCTGGCACAGTGTGAATTTTTGTCGTGCCAGGCTGGTTGAACCTGAGGATGGGGAGTCAAGACTTTGACTCTTGTCATGTTCTTGACCATGGGCCTCCAGAGTCCTTCCCTTTCATCCTTCCCTTCCTACCCCACCTTCCAACTGTGCTTCAATGCCTTTTCCATCATGCCTCTGAACTTGTAAGCTTCAATTATAGTGACTCTGAGGACTGTCAATTTCTCATAGGGCAGATTACCCCCCAGTGCGCCAAACGTCATGGCTCACTCGTTAAGCAACGGAATCGAGTGATTCAACTTTCAGTGGGAAGCTGACGCTGCAAGCTACAAAATATCCGTTGTTCAGATTGTTTCACTGATTGGAGTTTTGGATATAGCTTTTCGAAGGTCGCGAGTTTTCTAGGCGTCATAACGAAGTGCTGCAGAAATTTCCAAGGAGCAATTGAATCATCTGCTTATAGCCTTCTCTATCCAATAGTGACTGGAGCTTGTTGTTGTTTGGAAAAAGTCACTTGCAAGCTCCGCACTTGTTCCCCGCCATGCATGTTTGGATGCCGTTGGAAATCCTAGCGGCGTAAACTAGGGGCGATACCAGCATATTTGGTTGGGGTCCCATTATAAGCTCGAAACATATTGTATGTATTGTGTAGTACACTCGTCCTATCCCCAAAACAATGTGGCAATATTCCCATTGCGGCATTAAGACCCGAATGTTTTCTAGATATCGCTACAATTTGGCACAAAGCATGTGACGCAACCACTATTGTTACCGCACATTTTTACATATACATCTGCGTTCATGATTAGTGTCTTTCGTAAAAAACCATGGAACGTACATGTCACTATATAACGCACTCCAAGCACTCAGCATGGCGATCGCCTAAAGCAAGTGTATACACATGTTCGCCCGTGGGCCAGCTACGGTGCGGATCATCCGACGCTGCTAGCTGTGCAGGGTCGGAACGGTTCCGGATGAGCCGGGTGCTGCGTCTGCTGCGAGCGCGTGCCGCCACTATGCGGCCAGCCCAAGAGCACGCGACAGTTCGCCAACGCGCACGACAGACTCCAAGCCCACCCCATGCGTGTCGCCATGTGTCTGCACGCGGAAGGATGGCGTTAGGCCGAATGACATAGATAAATATCTGCGACTATAGCTGGTTATGGGAGGGCTTACCCTCCGGGCCGAAGACGGCGCACGGGCACCAGATGCAGAAGGTGAGCTGTCAACCTCAGGCCCGTCCAGTCCGGCCTCGATTGGCGCCGCCTCGTCCTGCACTACACACAAGAATGGTCGGGGTCTCTTAAACCGGGAAAAAAACAAGCGCGTGCACTATGCCAGTGGCGGCTGCGCGTATCCAATATTGTTGGCGTATGCCCACAGCCGGTCACTGTAGTTGTACTGGGACGGTTGTAGAAGGCAGAGGTCGGTTAGGGATGTCACATAAGGATAAGGATTTATTAGGCAAAAGTCGGCGATGCGCCTCATGAAGTCGGTCATCTGGCGTCGAGCCCACGCTGTCGGGCATACGTCCGGATGCATGGCCAGGATAAGCATACGGAACACGTAAGGAACGGGCTGCCCCGTGTCCAGGTTAAGCAGCCGATGCGCCTCGGCCATTGGTCGCTCGCGATGCAAGAGAGGGCTGCATCCATCTCTGCCCAGGCAGATGTTCATGCCAGATAATATGGAGAATGGGCCCAGCTCGCAGCCGTTGTCGTGTGCGATGTAGCAGTTAACTTGCATGAGGGTGTATGCCACTGTTGGCATCTGGAGCAAAGAGTGGCATATCGTAATATAGTGGCGCGGCTGGTATTCGCACATATGAGCGACTTGGTGGATAACTAAGCCAGGCATTGTGCAGTGCGCGCGGCATCTATCAAACGCCCAGAAAAACGATAGTATTCTGGCAGTGAGCAGGGGGTTTTGAGCAAAGCGCTCGTGCCTTGCTCTGGTAAACGCCACCGCCACTCTGGGCCAGCAATGGGCGTACCGATGTGCGCAGACGCCATATATGGATGAGAATCGAGGCCACGCGGGCCGAACCAATGTGGATTCGCCATGCGGCATATGAGATAGGGTGTGTGAGGCGACGTCGGGGTAGGCGTGTAACGGCAGGACACAATCGAATATGTATTTAGGAGCATGTTCATTATGTGGTCTAAAAGCTGGCGCATTGTCCTGCTTGGCGACATTGTCCAAATGTCTCTTCCTCGCAGGCAAATACTTGTAAAGTGATGACCATTCACCACTGACATAAGAAATAAGGGTAACCAAAACCAAACATCACACAGGTGACCTGCACGCTGAAACAAATACACTAAGCACACGGAAAGCAGCTACAAACCAAACACAGCCGTCAGACATAATAGCAAGGCCTCAGAGATCTATCACAATCTGGCCAGCCATGAGGGTTGTTTCTATCATGCACTCCGCCACGTCATCTAACCCCTCCATTGCCTTGTAAATGGCGTTAATCGAAGGACCGTTGTCGTTCACCACAGCGGAGTTTGCCGAGCCTGCAGGTGCCGCAGCATGCCGGCGCTTGGTCGGGGTGCAAAGAAGGCGCTCCTTGAATGCAGGGTTCGCAGTGCTCATGTAGACAGGGACGTCACCTGGCGTCATTTCGAGACAGGACACGACCCGCGTGCACACTTCGGCGATCGTGCGCAGCACCCTCCTAAGATGCCTCTGATCATCATTCGCAGGCCCCTTGCGGGGCGACGTAGGTGTGAGGCTAGAGGGCGCGTCCGTATCTCCAGTGAATTGCGTGAAGCCTTCTGGCCACTCATCGTCGTTGTCGATCCCCGCAAAGTCGACGGCCGGCATGGCGTGCCATCCCAGTCGCAGCATGTCAATATGGCACTGTAGGCACATGAGCTCCCTGACCATCGGCTCCGCCATCCACGAGGGGTTGGGCACATTGACGTTGTCCATGCGCACAACGCATGATGGCGGAATAGCGCCGGCTTGCCACCAACTC